TTAAAATGTTTGTTAGGCTAATGGACAATCTTGATGGTCCTGTGGATAAATACATATTTAATAACATAATAATGCAAACTGCAGATGCAACTCTAACTATAGAATCTTTACTGAAGCATATTAACATAGTCCCTGACACCAGGCACGAAGCTACTGATTTGATTTCTTTTTAAAGTAATTCCTATCAACAGAGATAATCAGAAGCGGTTTGCCTTTACATTGCAGGGACAGCATACTTTCACTATCTTACCTTAAGGCTAGGTCAACTCTCCTCTCTGTCATTATATAGTCTGGAGAAATCTTGTTCATCTTGACATCCCACAAAACTTCAAGCTGGAATATTACATTCATGACATTACACTGATAGGACTTGGTGAGCAGAAAGTAGTAAACATCCAAGATATATGCTAGAGAATGGAAGATAAACTCCAAGGAAGTTCAGAGACTTTCAACACTGGTGAAATTTTATGGGTCCAGTGGTCTGGGCATGCTGAAATAGATCCTCTACAGTAAGTGATAAATTGCTGCACCTTGTACCTTCCATCATGAAGAATGAAGCACAAAAGTGGTGGCCTCTTTAGAATTTGGAAGCAACATAGACCACATTGGGTATGCTGCTCTCATGCATGTACTAGGTAATCCACAGAGTTGACTATGTTGAGAGGAGCCTGGGGCAAGAAAAAGACCTGTAGCATACCTCTGCCATAATGAAAGCTGCCCTATACCTTTGGCTTTAAGATCCAGCAGCTGTAGTGACTTTTGGTAATGTCTGTGGGAAACAGAGATGCTGTATGACATCTCTGCCAATGGAAGCATCAGTATGAAGATTCCTAGTGATTTTGTAATAGACATGCAATCTTCTACCAATAACTATTCTCCAATTGAAAAGTAGCTCTTAATTTGCTATTGGACTATGGTTAAGACTGAGTGCCAGGTCACAGGACCCCAAATGACTATTGGCCCAAACTGCACATCATGAGCTAGGTATTATCTGGTTCAACACATCATAAAGCAATATGTATACAATAACATTTCATTGTTAAATGAAACCAGGACCAAGCAGGTTGAGGAAGCCTAAATACATTGCATGAGCAAGTAGCTCAGGTGTCCCTGATATCTGTTACTTCTGTTTCACCATCTGGTCCCTTCAGCTTTCACCTTTGGCTTCACGAGTGTTCTTAATGACCAAGTAATGGAGGATGAAACGGTGTGGATCTAGTTTGTAAATGGGTTGTGCAGGGCTTGGTACAAGCTGTGACAACTGTGTTTACAGGTCCACTTAAGGAGGCTGGCCCTGATATACAGTGGTAAAATGATATCCCCCAGCAGCCAGAATTTCAGCTAGTACATTTGACTGTGTACTTTGCAGGGAAGAAGAGATAACTGAGGTAATGATATATGGCATGGCCGTATGGTCACGGACTTAAAGAACAAAATTGGAAAACTGGTGACAGAATGTCTAGGACAGAGTTATGTGGATGTATCTTTCAGAATTGGTACAAAATGTGATGATATGGTATCCTATGTGAATTCCCTCTAGTGAATTCCACAGTAGAGAAGGCTCTTAGTAATCTGGACAAAGTTATGGATCTTATGGATGGCAGTCAGATTCTTGGCTAACCTGGAACTTGCTCAACAGGCCAATGTACAAAGTGATAATGGGAGCAGGGATGGAAACTGTGTATGAATTCAACTAGATGGACTTCCTCCCCTCCATGACTAACTTAACTACCACCACTGCTGAGCTCACAATTTTCCAGGGCTGAGACCCTGATACAGCACCACTCCCCAGGAAGAACAATCAGGTGGTGGCAGGTAGGTTACATTTGACTCCTTCCCACGTGAAGGAAGCTGAAATTTATCCTGATACAAATTGACAGATTTTCAGGATATGTATGTGCCTTCCCTTCCCCCTCAATACTTTTGCAAGCTCCTTCATGCATGGGTTTAACAGAATGATTTACCAATTACCAGAGTATTCTTACAACATTGCCTTTAACTGGGATACTTATCTCAATAGCAAAGAAAATACAGTTGACACAAACGTATAGCATTCACTGGTCATACCTCATGCCCAGACTCAGCTGGCTAAATGGAGTGGTGAAATGGCCTACTAATGGAGTGGTGGTTCATGTATGGTTGCCAGTTGGGAGAAGTTAGGTTAGGGTGTGTTCTACAGGATATAATATATGGCCAGTTATCTCCTCCATAGCAAGAATGCATGAGTATGGGAACAAAGAGGTTATGGTAGAAGTGGCCACTCTAGTACATCGAATAACCCATTTAAAGAATTTTTAATCTGTCCTGAAACCTTCAGATTGGTGGTTTTGGAAATCTCTGATACAAAAGGAAGAATGTTTTCACCAGGGTTCAGAGTTCTAGTTCTGTTGTATTGGAAGCCAAGAATATTCACTGGCTATTTTGGATATCTCAAGCTGCTGAACTTACAGTGACGGGCTGATAATTTTGCCAGACTATCAAGATGATTGTGGGTTGCTGCTATACAATGGGCACAAGGAGAACTACGGTTTGAATTCAGGAGATTCGATGGGGCATCTCTTTAAAAATACCTGTCCAATAATTTTGTTTATTAAACAAATGCAGTAATCTGAGAAAGACGGGAACACCAAAGACTTAGAACTTATAGAAATTAAGGTTTGGATCACCTATTAGATGAAAAACTCAATCTAGCCCAGGTGCTAAACAGAGGGTAAGAGTAAGGAAAAATGGAACTGAGTGGATGAAGAAAGCTATACTGATCAATTTTGAGCTTTCTGACCAATCAGAGAAGCATGGACTTAAACAGCTCTGTTTTATGTTCCACCTATTATGAACAACATTAGTTATGACTAATATTTTAGATTTCAATTAGAAGTAAGAATGAATTGATGCAACCTCTTGATGATGCATTAGCCGGATGCCCCTTCCCTAATAGGCACTCCATTAAACTCTCTTTAATTACCCAATTTGACTATTATCTGTTTATATATCTGCAAAAATCATGACATGGTAAACTAAGTAGCAAAATCAGCACAAAACAGTTATAAGGACCATATCTTTTTTTATGAAGATAAAGTAATATTTATACACAAAACCATGATATTAAAAGCAACACAATTTTGAAAAGAATGAAGTACATGTCTAAAGTTATCTATTGCATATAGTTGAGGCAAAAATATATATTCATGAACATCTATGTGTTATATAATCCTTGGACAACTCAATAATGCTTTAATAAGGCAGAGTATGTGGCTAGCTAAAGGAAATACCTGTCATATCTTAAAAATATCATTCAATAAAAATAATTTTCATAATAAAATGATACCACTTTAAGATATAATTTTCATAGCATAATTTTAAAATAAAACATAAAATCTTACAGTTGGATGTGAGTGAATTACTTTAAGTCAGGGAGGAAAGAAAAATGTATACTTAGAATATTTTGTTTAATGTTCATTTTTTGTAATTACTCCAAATTTAAGAGTTAATGTCTGAAGTAGTTTTACATAATTCACATTCATGTTAAAAAACTAAGGCTTTAAAGACTAACAGGAAAAATGCAAAGAAAGATAACACAACAAGCATTACCTCACAACCTCAGCACTCTCTAATGCAATTTATCAATGCAGGTGAAGATATTACTTCCATTATATCTTCATAATAAATTAAAATTTAGTACATGATTATGGACAGAAGGAGCAAATAAAACTGGCTTAAGAGTGTTATATATTAATTTTCCACCTTTAACTTCTTGGTAATGGCAATTCATGCTAAAAGTCAAATGAGATTCATTCAGATTTCTGATCATTCTTTCTCTTTTATGTACTATATTCTGGCATGTTTGAAAAAAATCAAAACTCATTCTAATTTTTAAATGATTTATGAAGCAGAGATAGTGTCCAATGACTATAGTTTGAGAACTAAAGATACAAAGAGGATTAAAATAGAGTATGAAACATTCTAACAGCCAACTTTTTAATGAGTATAATAACTTCAAGTTTAAAAATAACAATATTTAATTTTCTCACTGAGGTCCCAGCCTAAACATTCTATTAGTTAAAAAAACAAACAAAATAACCCTATAGTTTTCATCTCCTCTGTAGTAAATTCAGAATGTAACTGTAATATTTTACTGGATCTTCAATTATCCTGGATTAATCATCATTGCTGCATTAATAATTGTAAAATTTAAAAACAGAAAATTTATATAACAGCTGTTTTTCTTATTCCAGTATCTTGAGACAAGATACTCCTCAGTTGATGGTGCTCCTTTTTGCCAGGTCTTTAAGTCTAAAAAAGGACCATATGCTTCCTGCAGATTCATCAGTTATTTAATGTGCACAAATAAAAATATTGCCTAGGTCTTTCCCAGGTACACACCAAAGCTATAAATTACTTAGTATTATTCTATAGCACTCTTCCACATTTTCACATTCTAGCTTTCTTCTCAAAGAGTTGGTGTCACTTACCAGAATGGGTCCTGAGGTGTCCTGTGAGGGCGTCCCTTCTTCTGCAGGCGTAGCTACAGAAAGGACATTTGAACGGCTTCTCTCCAGAGTGTAACTTTATGTGTCTCAGAAGGTTGCCCTTCTGAGTAAAAGAAGCTCCACACTGGTTACAGTGGAAGGGGCGTTCACCTGCAGCAAGGAGCAGAAGTGGGAAAGATCAAGTAGGTTATGTGCACATGACTAATTTGCCATCCTCTGTTAACCAGAGCCAGTTCTCTATGCTAAGAAAGTTCATCTCCCCCATAAGTCTTCTAAACATTTATCTTCCTAGAATTCGCTTTGCCAGTACAGTACCAAGGTGTCAAGCATTAGGCCAAGTGGCCATTTCCCCTCTTCATATGCATTTGATAAGATTCCTGTCATTGACTCAAAAGAATAAAAACAGCATTTAGCATTGGCTGAACTAGATGCCGTCACTTTACTGTCTTACTGGTTGCTTTACATACAATATCTCAATCCTCACAATGACACTAATAATTAGGTGTTATTAATTTCAATTTACAAATAAAGAAATTATTCACTTGAGAACATATGTGATTACAGTAACAGAGCTACTAAGTACTCGAGCTGAGAACTGAACTGGTTTGTCTGACCACAAAATCTTATTCTCTTTATTTTACCGTGCTATCTCTTTAAAATTCACAGGAATTCTAGGTTGAAAGGTATCTGGAGTTTAACTCCCTCAGTTAGCTAATAAGGAAAAGGGAGCCAAAAAAGTTACAGCAAGTGAACCAGCTTACAAAGCTCACTACCACAAGAATCTCCAAATATAGCCCACGTCTACTTGATTCTCCTTGTCACTAATAGTAATACCTTAGGCAATTTCCTGAGATAACAGGGAAAACCCTAAGAAAATTATTTATCCTGACATTTCCTGTATATTCTCTTTATTTTGTGAAAATTATTTGTTTGATAGGAATCTTTTCTCCCTTTTCTATTACTGAAGTTGCTATAATATTGGTTAAGCCTCAATTATCAATTTAGTCTATTGCCATCAACTGGCCGTCACCAATGACAAACATAAAAATATGTAGGTAATGAAGCAGTAAAATTGGCAAGTAGGGTCAAACTGATAAAATTATTAAACCCGGAAGAAAATAATTTATTTTAAGTTGTCTATCTCTGAAGACGGATATGAAATAAAATATAAAGTAATGCATAAATAAATAGTAAAATGTTACATACTAAAGCTCCATGTTTAGAATAAAAGGAAAATTAAAGAAACACTTCCTTTTACATTGAATTGGACCATTTCTGTACTTAAGGCTAGATGATTATAATTCTAATAGTTTTTCAAGAAACTTACATTGAATTGTCATGTTTTATGTGTTTAATTGAAACAATATTAATGGTTAATAATAAAACCTTAGTTATTTTTTGCCCTTTGATATAATGCAAACTCAATGATTCTTTAAAGAAAGCTAGGAAGTATAAAGAAGATACACTGCAATCACTTTTTGGCAGCAGATCTGCAAATTCTGTTATATATATGTTGTAAAACCTAGAGAAAGTGAAAAATGGATAGATTAGATGTACCTAAAATTCTGTAATGCCTATTCCTTCTGGAACTTACTGATACCAAAAAAGTGTAAACGGCATGTGTGGTGGGGGGGTTAAGGTTTCTTCTTAAGAAATCTGGAGCTCTCATGAACTACATCTACAAGAGGTCCTATATTGATGTATATGGTTGAAAAAATTATCTATCAGGTTAAAGTTACCTTAAATTGTATTTTCCTTAACTAGTTTAATTTGGTAAAACCTAAAACCCCTTATATGAAGTCTTACAAAATAATCAGAGTTTTTAAATAAATCCAATTTTGGCAGATATGTTATTTTTCACACACATATACAACTTAATTTTTGATTCTTTAACAGTCTGCAAGTTTTTAAATCATCATATTCTACTGTCCACCCCTGCCATGGAATTGCATAGTAATAAAGGGAAGGACAGAAGCATTTCCTTCACAAGTTGACTTTTTAAAGAAAGAAAAAAATAGCAAATATAAATTATACTTTTCACTCCAAATATTTGATTTTACTTTTAGATCCTCTCTATGTAAGGTTTCCCAGGCAAGTAACAAATTAGAATGCAATAACTTTACAAAGGAATTAAACTAGTGAGTGTAGTGAACAAAAAAATTTGAAATCATGTTTGCCTTTAGAAAATACCCCTATAGCATGCTGACTTAGATTTTCTTTAAGCCTCCTACAATCTTTGGGTTGAAATATTTAAAAATCCCTAGTTTAGAGTAGTTAATTCATTGTTCAAAATGATGCTAATCTAAAAAAGAAAAAATAATGGGTATAAATCTTTTCTAAAAAAATTTTTAGTTTACCTAATTAAGTTTAATGAGACTAACAACAGGGTAATTTAGGTTTTAAATTTGCAACATACTCCAGATACTTTCAATTTTTTAATAAGAAATTACTTTTGAATTTACATGATCATCGTCAAATGGAGTAGAAAGAATGAAAGGTGCTCTAGGTATATCTGGAAATATTGTCCTGTTGCTACGTGTTGAAGTTGTAGTGCAGAGGCCTTTGGTAAGTAACCATGGCCAAACATAAGAACAAGGCATGATGAAAGTAACCAGTCATGCTCCTCTTTTGGTAAGAGAAAAGGGGTACTGACAATAATGCACTTTCATTTCAACCAGATAAGGCTTTGAGAAACACTGACTTGAATTACGAATAAGTCTTGATAGATGTTTCTTACTTTTGGATACTAATTCTATGGCTTTCCTCATTTTAGGCTGAAATCTGCTTAACTCCTCTTAGTGTCTTGATTATATGAAACAATAATCATTTCAACAATCCAGTTGTTTTATTATGTTCCACATTAATGTTAGTTGGAATTACAGTGAAACCCTCAATAACACTACTGTTGGAAACCAGGAGGAAAACAGGTAACTTAGGAGATTGGTTTTGGGTATACATAAATTATATTTCAAGAATTACCCAAATGTGGGAGTCATATCTGTTTAATAACAAATAAAAAGTGAATTAATTCAATTTTTGTAAAAGCCATTTCTGTAAAACATCAGCAAACCTTTTATTCGATGTCGTGGCATAATTCCTGGCCTAGACATTACAGAGACATGTATAAAATCATCTGATAAGTAAAAGGTTCAGTTAATTACTTTTTGTCTAGGCAAATGTCAGACATGGAAAAAACTCCATACTGTCCATGCAACTTTAAACAAAACATCTCAATTATTTCTTTTTAATAATTTGTTCTTTAAACTAAATGGACTGAATCAGCCTTTTGACAATCAGTTTAGACTTTGAAAAAATATTAATCATGTTCTTTATATGTAGATCAAAGCAAATTTTCAGAAAACCTCACAAATTTACTAACTGTATCAATGATATTATAAAGTAATCTAAGTTGAAAAAATTAAATAAGTTATTGTGTTTGTAATCATTAACCTTTCCACTGGTGGGCACAACAATCTTGACTAACAATTCTGGATCCAGAAGAACAATTAAGATATGGTCATGGTATTTTTCATGTGCATTCTCAATCTGTTGTATATTTTTTTAAACACAGTCTACCAATCTTCTGGTTATTTTTAGTTATTAACTGAATGATGTTATACATTATTTTTATTATGGAATAAATTATATTTTGATAGTTTACTTTTATAAACACATATTTCTAGATATGTGCTTAAATATTTAGTTGAAATGTAAATGATAGGTACATCAAATTGCTTTGGTGAATCAAAGACACAGGGCGCTCCTATGTTGGATGGGACAACCACCTACAAATATGCAAAATCTCAAAGAACCTGTTGAGAGAGCCTTGGAGCAAGAGAATGGCTCCATAAGGCTGCAATGTACAAAGTATGGTGCTGAAAACGTAGTTTCAGAGATGGGAGTACTCTACCCCACAGAGGGGCAAAATTAAGGATATGTTTATAATGTTCCCATCGATTAGTGTTCATGCATGAATTGATTTGCTATCCCTACTTATTTACTTCTCTCTATATTCCCAGTGAAGAGTGCCTGGAGTATCCGATGACAATATTACCCGATTTCTTACTAAAGTAGGAATACCAAAGAAATAACATCAAGCCATTTATAAGACACTGGAATTGGCACTTCAGTAGCGTATGAAATGAAAGAGAAGAAGAAATGAATTAGATCTAATACTTCATGCTGTTGTAATGAATTTGGTGGTTGTGCATCTTTTTTCACTATTATTTTCATATTAGATATTCTACAAGATAAAAACACTAAAAAAATGTTTCCCAAAGGCTTTATAAGGATTTAAGACGGTGTCTTTTATATTAGCTATAAATAATTGGTAAGAGTAGGAAATTCTAAAATGAAGACGGTACGTGGTGTTAAGGGAAAATAACATTTGGTTAATGACTTGATTCTGACTACATTTTTCTCAATCTAGTTTAAATTAAAGAAACACAAGTAAACCTTCAATTCTCCAATAGCATTTAAGTGGAGTTGCAAAAAAAATGTCAGGACCCACTCAGATGTATAAACAGGGTCATCATAAATACATGTTAAAATGTCTAATTTAAAGATGTCATATCCACAATTTTAAAGTCAACAAAGCATGGTAGGTATCTCAAGTTCTTCCATGAATAGCTATTAGCTTTAACAACAATCTTTCAGATTTGAAGAAAGTGTAATAGTTGGTAAAATATTCCAATAAACGTTGATTAGCAAAAAAAGTTCATAGTGTTTCAAGTGTACTTTAAATGATTGTTTTAGTTCATACTCCTTGGGCTTACACTCCTAGGACTTGTGGAAATCTATATAACTATTTCTAAACATTTTTCATGTCAAATATATTTTCAGAATTAAAATAATTCAACTCTACCACTATAGTCCATAGCAAATGGACAGTAGAGTAGGTATATAATTATTATTGTATTTACACACTAACAATCCTCATGAATATTACCTCATGTAGATACAGTGAAACATTAATTAACCTAAATTTTCAAGAAAGGATACTCTAGTTCATTGAAATTTCTTAACTTAGAACATAAAAGGTTTATTAAAAAATCTTCAAAAATTGTTTTTAGAATATTACTCAGTTTTAAAATTAGCACTATATGCAATTTAAGCAAAAAGTCATTAGACTGATTTTGCTTAGTTTGTATTTTAATAGAAGTTACACGTTTGAATTAGTGTTATCTTCCTCAATATAATCACTCTGACACAATGAATATATTACAGCTTTGTGGAACTTGCTTTTCAGAACTGTAGTTAGAATTACTTCATAAGCATAGATGAAAAGTAGATTATTTAATAGTCGTTTCCCTTTTGTCTCATCAAATAGATACCAAGCTTGATCTTTTATCCTTTCCTATTCTTAAAAATTAAAGAAAAAATTGTACTCATATTTTAAAAATATGACACTGTTTAAAAAGGAAATTAAAAAAAATAAGCAAAATGTAACTGACCTTATGGTTGGAATAAGTATACATGTTCTAAAGCAGATGATTTTGATTATAACACTAATTTTAATGTGTAACTTCTCACTGTAATTTTTAAAATATTAGCCTAGGTCATACGTGATAATAAATTGTTAGTATATTGATATACCAAGGCTAGTGTATTTGAACAAAACCAGTCTGGGAATCAGAAAACCTTGGTTCCAGCCTTAGTAATGCCCTTACCTACATAAGGGATAATAGACAAATCACTTGACTGTTTCTTAAAGTATAAAATGAGAGGTTTGGACTAAAAAAGACTTCAATATACCTTATATCTTTCCTGTTTTAAGCACCTAATTACTAAACTGATTGTTTAGAAATAAAACTATAAAACAAATTTCTTTATTGTGATTTCTCTTCCAAAAGAATATATTTTAAAACTGAGATTAGTTATTAATATTTTGCTACTTTGCATTGTGAAAGCTACCATTACCTTTAAACTAATTTTTATAAGAGCTTGAAACTTTCTTTTAAAAATCAACAATCCTCCTATCTTACCACGATCTCATTTCTGTCATTTTTGTTGTTTTTTTTTAATTTTGGCAAAGGATTTTGAGAGATTTAAATAAGGCTTCTCATTCGCTTGGTTTTCATGAAGGAGTTTCCACCTCCTAAATGTCTAAAAGTACAAATTAAATTAATCTGGGGGCTTTTTCCTAACTCTATTCCATGATTACACATTTCCACCTGCATGCCCGCCACCCTTTTTCATCTTCAACCCCACATGTCTCCTTGCAGAAATTATAGCCAAAAATTACAGGAAGGTAATAACATCCCTGAACTACAAAAACTACCTGCCTACTACCAAGACCTGTGCTAAGCAAAGACTGATTAGAAATTCTATTCCAAAGAGTTAACTTGATAAAGTGAAAATGATTCACCCCTATATAAATGCATGACTGCCACTTTGTAGTATAAACTCTTAGCTACTAAACTATATTACCTGCCCCTGGGTATGGTAAAATAAGTATAGAAATACAAAAAGATTAAGTTACACAATGAAATTCTCCTATACCTTGTGAACCCTTATCATATTATTGCTATATTAAGAACTGTGGAAACTGAATCCCAAACTTCTTTTCTGATATGTTATTCAGATTTGAAGGCTGGAAGTCAAGACCCAGGCTACTCTCTGTTTTTCTGCAATCCAATACTAGCAGAATTCTGAAAAGGTAGTTTCACCATTGCCACCCCTGAATAAAAAGGAAAGAGAATAGATGTCAGGTAATATCAACATCAGATGTCACAGGCAGTCATCAGGTTATTCTTTCAGCTGCTTACCAGTGTGACTCCTTTTATGTACCATAAGCACATTGGGCCCAATGCAAACCATGCCACAGACGTCACATTTCAGTTTACCATTCGGAAGCCGGATTCCTCCCTCGCCTTGAAGCTCCTGGACTTTCCTGTTGTCAGCCACCTCGCTGCTCTCAATTAGGGGTTCTTCTAGGCTGCTACCCTCATCATGGCCCCTGATCTCGTCTTCGTGGCTCAGGGGTTTCCTGTCACACTCTTCATCACTCTGCATTTCTACCTTTACTGAATTTGCTGTAATTTCAAAAGAAAAAAAATTTTAAGTACATACTATGTGTTCTCACCTACATCTCTTTCACACCCATTGCTATTCTACTAAATGGGTGAAAGGGATATATTAAGTAGAATATAGTTCATCACCAAATGCCATGTTAATACATAGTGTACTCTGTGATATTTTAGTGAAAAGGCATGAAAGGATGACTCCAGAAAGCTCTAGGTAAACAGAATGACCCTGTATTTCTGTACACATTTATTTCTTTAACTCAAGTAATTACTTTTTAAGCAAGTCTTTAAATAATTCTGTGTTTGAGTTTGTCACTAAGGCTACTATAGCTAAAATAGGATTATGGAAGACAAGATTAAATATTGCTTAACTCACTGAGGTACGCCTCCTCTTAATTTAACAATCAGGATATATACTTTATATTGTCTATTTCACATCTGAGTACTTGTGTAAACCTGCTTCTGAACAGAGCAAGAGAAACAACTCAGGATCTTAATCTAGCAAATGTCTTTGACATATGAAGGCACACTGTCAACGGCGTATGTTCTAAAATCAGACTAAACACATATATCCAGTTAAGAGCCATATAAATGTAGGGCAGGGTGCACAGACTTCACATGCTCTTAAGTTATTCTGCTTTTTTTTCCCCTATATAAAGAAATTCTCTATGGAACATATTAGTCTGCAAATCAAACTATTCTAACTCCAATCTGTGCAGACCAAACATCAGCTAATGACAGGAATGGCATAGCATGCAAGTACACACTTGCGACTGTTAAGAAATTTAATGCCTTTTGTTTGCTGTTTTTGGATCATCCCACAGAAAAGTTGGAATTTTGTTAGCACAGCCCTCATTCTGGATTGCTGACAGAGTCTTTTCACAAAGCAGGAGCAAGCTTTAACTGAATATCAGTATTTTATCCAGTAATCTTGAAAATTTCTTAAGAAATCATATCAAAGTTACTGAGCAAAACAAGTTATTTGGTACTACTTGAATAGAGGAAATATTTTCATAAAAAGGAAGTAAGTTCTTTTCACTGCCATTGTTTTCTTAGAGAAACCACACATTCAGTGATTTGTCATTAGTACTTATCACTAGAGAGAGGGCTTTAAAATGGCTCTTCCCCTGCTCCTATCTTGAGCTAGAGGGAGTGCAGTTCAAGAGTACTAGCAGTACAATCTTGAACTAATTATTTAATCTCCAAATCTTACATCTTTGGTTTGTAAATTGGAGATGAATTCAGATTACTGAATAAAGTTTGAGTAGGATAGTTTATCTGTTCACAGTGATGATCTTAGACACCTTAAAGAACGTAAATTCACTATGTCGTCTCTAAAATGTGGATGATAATGGTACCCCTTTCCTAGGGTTCATGGGAGCATTAAATAAGTAAATACAGGAAATGTGCTTATCTATTATTTTTCTCTGGACATACAGTGCTCTATATCATAAGGTTTTTGTGACAACCAATTAACTTTTGGTTTGTAAACTACTCTAAGATCTACAAAGGGTTATACATTCTTCCTGGACCCATCTCTAATACAGTAGATACTACATTGAGTTTCACCCTATTAATGAATCTGTACTGCCTTACTGATTATGGAGAACATAGGGACAACTTTTTACCCATTTTTATATCCCCAGCATGCTCAAGAACTTGGTGGTATATAGGAGATGTTCAAGCAGTATTCACTGAGATGCTTTACTAAGTTGATTAAGAATTTTATTGCTTTAAGCTTGTTTTGTATGTCTAAAGAAGCCATGGACATAATAAAGAAGAATCAAACGACATAAAAGATAAAAAATAAAAATTAATGGTCAGGCGCAGTGGCTCACGCCTGTAATCCTAGCACTGTTGGAAGCCGAGGCTGGAGGCCAGGAGTTTGAGACCAACCTGAGCAAGAGCGAGAAGCCTATCTATACAAAAAAGCAGAAAAATTAGCCGGCATGTTGGTATATGCCTGTAGTTCCAGCTATTCGGGAGGCTGAGGCAGGAGAATTGCTTGAGCCCAGGAGTTTGAGGTTGCAGTGAGCTATGATGACACCACTGCACTCTAGCCGGGGAAATAGAGTGAGACTCTGTCTCAAAAAAACAAACAAAAAAAAGTCCTTTTCTACCTAACGCTCACAATCTCTCAGTCCCTATCTCAAAAGCAACCATACTATTTCAAATTCCAAAGCATTTCTAAATCCATTTTATAAATGTAATATAATTTGTTCATTCAGACCCTATTGCTAGAAATTGAAGATTATTTCTTGTTTGCTGCTGTTACAGACATTATTTTATAATACATAGAACTGTCAATCGGATATGTTAATACTGGTATTTTATCAGTTTTAATATGCATTTTTAAATTATGAATGCAATTCTTTATTTTTTCTGAGACTTGTTTATCAAAGTTGTTTGCCCATTTTTCTAATAGGTTATTGATATTTTCTCACTGAATTTAAATGAACTTTATATACTAAGGAACTTATAGCACTGTGTTTTGCAAATAGTTTCATTTATCTTTTTAATCAAGGGTATTTTTTGGCATACATGCTAATTTCACATGTTAAAAGTTTTCAGTTTGCAATTATGGCTTCTGGGTTCTATATCTTGCTTCAATAGGTTTTCCATACTGCAAGAAATTCTTCCATGATATTTTTTCTGATAAGGAAGACTTTTCTAATCAAAGCAAAATGATATTGGTTGCCCTATATAATTCCATATTTCATTCATAATTATCATTTAAAATAAAAATTAAGAAAAATGAAAAGCATAATTTTATACTATATGACTTTACACCAATCTGTCAACAAATTTTTCCACATGTTGATTTCAAGCAATATACTAAAGACAAGAAGCTTCACAGCAATGCTATCATTTATATTCCTGAGTTAGCCAATATTTGATAAGATATACTTAATGAGCATAAAGTCTATTGGAATTCCATTTCAGGAACTGAAGAAATAAATACCTAAAAGTGTAGTTTTTGAGTCTAAAACTATGGGCCTCGTAAATTTAAAGATAGCACAGAATTAAAAAGAATATGACTGACATTACAATATTATCATTTCTCTCTAGTGAGATTATTATAATAGGGACATTAAAACATAGTATCAACCAACCATTGATAAAAATGTCATTTTTAAAAAGCAGTAGATATAAGAAATGTAGTTAGGATTTTGTATCCACAGAAGAATATGCATGAAATAAATACAGAAAAAAATAAAGTTTTGCTAAAATGGAAATAGACAAGAAATGGTAACACTATGGTAATCTTTTCTCTAACAATATTATACTCTAAGGAATTATGGTGTTTATCATGTATGAATGTACACCCTTTTCTGTACTGATATAGTAAATCAAAGTGCTACTCCTTCTAATATACACGTCATAGATTAGATTTTGCATAGGTGCCTATGTACAAAGAAAATCTCACAGTAATTAATTTTTAATCCATCTCACTAAAATTAAGTTGAAATTCTAGAAAAAACAATTAGAGTATTATTTAAATCTTAATTATTAAATAGAAAAGTTTTTTTCAAACTCTCCCATGATTTATTTTTACAATTTAAGATGTTTCCAATTAACATGGAATACCTAACATTTTAAAAAATCAAAACCCTAATTTCATTTATATATGAAATGGGAAATAAAATGTACAATGTTGTTACATACACTTGTAGACTCTATACTTATAGAACCCATCCACTTGAACCAATAAGAAATAAAGACAACACTGAATTCTCTGTAAAAATCACTGAATCAGAATATATTAAGTACTTACTACTTGCCTAATATTTTGCTAAAGATGACAGTGAAGGTTTAAGGCTAAACGCAAAAGAATATTAATTTAAATAAGAAATCCATATTAACAGTATAGTATATACTCTGAAATAAGCCATGAAAGAGTTCATGAGTAAGAGTACAGAAAATGTTTTACTAACATACATAATTTGGTTATATAATAAATTTTATATGCATGAAATATATTATGAAATATATTCACTTAATTTTGAATTGTCAAATTAAGAGAATAAATTCTATCTTCATCATTAGAATTTGGTTTTCATAAATAATCCTATAATTTTTAAATTTCAAGTTCTGTAAATACATAGTAACCAGAACTTAAAATATCAATATTAAAACATTTTTGGATATGTACATCAAATTTTCTACAACTTAAAACTTTATTCTTAGTATGACCTGATTTTATTAATCCACAAGCAGTTTAGTCAAGTTTCCTAGCCAGGAAAACATTAATAATGCAGATGCATTATGATTTATTTGTTCTATTTAAAAGGATATAATATTTGTTGATCTTAGAGAGTAGAAAACAAGTTTCCTAGATTAATTTCTATCAAATTGTGACTTCTGTTTAGTTTCCCATTATATTTTTTTTAAATTTTAATTTTTAAAGGAAGTAAATACTATGGGAATTAAAGAATATTTGTTTCACAGTGTTGAATAAATGATAGCTAAAATACCATTCTTTATTCACCAAATAGTAAAAGAAGAGACCTTTCAGGTTGATGTATAAGTAGACTTTTATACACTTGGTTTCTGTTTTGTGAGAATTTAAAGAGGACACTTAAGGGATTTTATAACTTATAAGCATCAATTTCTCCCAGACTATGCAGATATTTGAAATGGTGTTATACACACTAATTGAATCAATATGTCTACCTGTTGCAGTTGCTTCTGCACTAATATAACTCTTTCATTTAAACTTACGAAACAGAAACACCAAATGTGATTAAATCTGTGTTAATAGCTCAGTAGGTGTATAACATGATGTGTCAGAAAAATAAATTACCTTCAAAACTCTAATATAAAGCCCAATTATTTACTAAGAATTTACCAACAGTCTACACAATTATCACAACAAAAGTTATTTTAAGGTATATGCAATCTCATTTTTAATATCCTCAACAAAATGTCACATAATATAAAACCTTTGTTCCTTTTAACTGTAGATAAATAAATGGGTAAGTCTTTCAAAACTGTTCCCTCACAACATC